TCCTTCTTTAATTGTAAAAATTGTAATCATGGGCGTACGCAGAGCATAATTTAAGGGGGCCTGAGATTTTTTAATGTAAATTTTATTAGAAATGTTAAAATATAGCTATTAAAAATTTATAATAATTTGTCACATTATTTTTTCTCTTTTTAACCGACTTCAAAAAAGGAGGAGGTTATCAATTCATGGGAATATTTTTTATGTATGTTACCGGATAACTCTGGACCTCATTAACCGGTTTCGATAATTCTTTTTCTGGTGCCACAGGAGAGGTCCCATAATAATTTGGTCTAGATCCGATCATTATATTTTTATATGAGAATCGAAGTCGATTGTGTTTTTTGTTTAAAAATCACTTGTTAGTTTAACAATTGAGCTGAACCGAGCCCTACAAATGAATTTATATTGCACAAAGTTTATTATGGACTTATTGAAGAGTTAAAATACAAATTTGTTAGATACCTTAAGTGTATGCAAAGTTTAAAAGGCGACTTCGTCTTTACACCAAAATCGTAGTTTTTTCATTATTTTAACCGACTTCAAAAAAAGGAGGGTATCTATTCGTCGGAATATTTTTTTTTTATGTACATATGTTACCTTATAACCGATTTCGATAATTCTTTTTTAAATGAAAGGTGGTACCTCAGAGGTAGTCCCATCCTAATTTGGTTTAGATCCGATTATTGGATCATGAAGAAATTAACCTTAAAGTTTTACATGAGAATTGACAAACTAAGAGAAAATAATAAAAGATAATAATTATTTTACCTTTTTTTAAGTAAATTACTGTTTATCAGACTAACAAAACTAAGCTGAAAAGGACGTTCACAGTTGATAAAATTATCGAGGAACAACCAGCAGTTTACCAAAACTACCGAAATGGATGTGAAGACACCCAAAGTTTTAATTTATTGCATATATTTTGTAAATTGGAAATTGATTAAGAATTCATAGAAAGAAACTTACAATGAAACTTCGGAATTTAGGGGCGCTTGCGCCCATACCCCTCCCGTACCTGCGTACGCGCATGATTGTAATAATTGCTTTAGGGAAAACGCTAAACTTTTTCGTTCTAGAAAGGATGTACGATTGTGTTATGCATCGTTACATTGAAACTAAAAATGACAAGGTAGAATTTATACTACATCTATGCAAATGTAGTAATACATATATCGTTCCCCATATGCCAGAAGCATGAATGTGGAAATTTACCAAAATTGAGTTCTTGGGTTGACTTGATTAATCTTTGGATGTTCTATGTTAAACCGAAACTCATAATACCATGCGCACACGGAAACCACAATATTTTTCAATGTCAATAACATGAATGTATGGTCAAGTCTCATAATGAGGTTGTACTTACTTTCTGATTGTTCTACTAAATGTTTAGCTAAATACAAAACAATCAAACAACTTTCTTTTTTTTTTATCGTCAAATAATAATGTTTCTGCATATTGAACCAAACCTCCATACCCCTACGTTATTCCACGAGCTGAATGCGATTCCGAGGTCCGTTTATCTCACTAATGTCATGTTCGATGTCATTAGGAAAAAAATTTATCCAATAAAGATAAAAATTCATACACATAGTTTTTTGTTGTCGATGAATTCGAATATGGGGTTCCCTTGATTCTTCAAGGTCATCTAGAGGTTATGCTAAGGTCAAATTCAGAAGAATTGTATTGAATTTTCAGGTTTATTCAATAACTTTTTTTCTACTAGACCTTCAAATGACCTCGAACCTTCGTGATGGATGATAACAGACTTCGGATTCGCATTCAGGGCATCAAATAATATAAGGATATCAGGGATGGTTCAATATGCAGGATTTTTTTTTTGTAAGTCTGTGTAATTATTATTGAATCCGTTAAAGATTGCAAAAAAGTTTTTCCTGGAGAAAACCAACATTTTGTAGTCTTCGGCCTGTGAGCCATACGAGAATTCAGACGTGATACATAGAGTTGTGCATTTATTGGTGCGCTGTCCTGAACCTTTGTGAGCATGAGTATATAGAGCTTTTCGTAATAAATCTTTTGGTAAGATTAGCACCGCCTTTTTTTCTTTAATTTGGTTCAAAACCACTAAAATTAGAAGCTAACGTCATTATGAAACTTCCGTCATTTCCATGTAACCTTTGGGTTTTGGTTGCGTTTTATGATTTCTTTATACCATGCAGTGCGCCAGTTTCAGCTTTCAACAATAGGTATATCGAATCCTAATCACCAAAAAGATGTAAGCTAAATTTTTTTTTCAAAATTTGCTTTTTGATGCAGAAACATCCCTAAGGCATCTAAATGCATTTCTGCATCAAAAATAAAATTTTGAAAAAAAAAATTCGCTTACATCTTTCTGGCGGTTAGGGCTCGATATGCTGTTATTTTAGTTTTATTCCCAACAAATCACCTGCAAGGTTCAGGATCAGCGCCCTCCTAAATTTTTGCATTTTCTGGAGTTAAAAGTGTGCCTTCTTGTCGTATTGTCGCTTTGTGATAGTTCAAAATGCCCTTTAAATGATTCAAAGCTCTTTAAACAATTTTATTAAGTAAAAAAATTTTAAAAGTAAAAAGTAAAGATTTTCCCCCGATTCTTGAAGTAAAACAACGTACCGATTCAGTTGAAGTCATGTATAACTTTAATGTTGTAGGTAAGAGAACCTTCTACGAAAAATATTCCATATAGTTTTTAAGTGTAATCTTCAAAACCTCAAAGTGCTCGTTGGTTGATACTGGGGTTAGCTCATTATGAAAAAATAATAATTTCACTGATTTATTACTGATGGAATTTGGAGAAACGTTTTAATACTTCCGTGCATAAAAACATATGTACCATTTATATGTGTATGTTAGTATGTTTATTGACCCTCCGAATTTTAGCCTGTAAAAGTAAAATTCACCAGCGTATGACCGCAAAAAGAACTTCATTTATATAAATTCAATGTTGTAGCGATGGCATGCACTTTTCTTCTATAAACATATAAGTAGTTGTGCAGATTAAGGAGCCGCACATTCCAACATGGTAAAAAGAACATGGTTGGTATACGTTTTTCGTAACCAGTACAACATTTCTAAGGTAATTTTAACCTTGAGATTGATTGAAGCTGCAAATCGGTCAAGAGATGACGGAGTTATATATGGTTTTTGTGAAGTTTTTACATTTGTACGACAAAATTAAAAAATTTCCAATTTGACAAGGTTGCGACGATAGACCACCTATGGAGGGGTAAGAGGTTTAAAATGTTTTTAAAATGTTTCAACAAAAATGTTCCTCGTCGTATTTTACATAGAACTGCCTAACGCATCCTATGCCTAAAATGCAAGGAACCCATGGTTTCCTATGCTGATTCACCAAAATGTGCAAAAAGACGAAAACTAAAATAAAACTCAAACGTAAATTTTTAGGTACATATGTATGTATATAATTTAATTCGTTTTCAGAACCTTGTTATTTATTGGTGTTGTACAGCGTTATCACAAAACAAAATGTGTCATACGTACGAGATTTCATCAAATGTAGACGGAATTTTCGGTTCTGAACATTTATGGTTGCCAGAGTAAGCCCCGCACGATACAAATTCTATTTTTGGCGAGGCATTCTAATGTTTATGCTTTCATAAAACCCTTATTCTTATGGTCTTGTATCTTGCGTTTCAATATTTCCTCCAATTAAAACAAATGCAGCTGAAAATATGTGAATGAAATGTACAAAGAACAGAACTAATTTATGGAGATACAGACATACAATATCTACATATTTATATATGAAAGAATGTGTGTATGCATATGTATTCTTGCATGCAAAACACTTGTTGCATTTAAACAAGGCGATGAACAAATTTAATGCGATGCCGGATGTGCAAAACATTTATTTTTCTTTAATATAAAAGTAAATTTTGTTGCCAATTACCTACATATGTACATACCAGGGATGTTTCGAATATTCGCATCATTTAACACCGGCTTTTACCTTCAGCCGCTAAACGGTTAAGTAGTATATCAAGCAAATTGATGGGCCTTCAGCAAGTACTGCTAAAAGTCTTATAAGCAACGTAGAAATAATTTTAGATTCCTCCAGCGAGAGCGAAGGCTCGGATGTACATAGAATCTGGAGGCATTCCCAGTGGGAAAATGTCATATGTTGTGATCGAAAAAATAATCAGTCAAACAGCCGATGTTACATTCGAAAATGCATTATTTTTTGCACGGCGATGTCCCAGGGAAAGTGTGGCATTCAATTTTCCAGTACCAGTAATGCAGAAATGAATGTGATTTAATATGAAATTGTTGCGAGTTTTTGGATACATTAGAATGCTGATTACATATTAAACAGTAATAGAATCTAGAACTCATACGAAATACATCACAATACATATCACGCATGAAATGCATTACTACTTTTCCCACTGAGAGCCTCTAAGAAATCGCCTCATGGGAGAAAAAATTACTTTTTTGCAAAATATGACATTCGAAACATCCCTAGTACATACATAAGTACATACATATGTAAACAAGTAAATATATGTGTACATATTTACTTGAAAGTAACATTGTAGGAAAAAATTAACTCAAACTTTAAACTTGAAAAAAGGCAAAAATGAAGACAACATTATTTTCTAAATTTGTTATGTCCATACCTTTATGTACAATGTGCATGTACAATTAAATATATAAAAAATATATACAGTGGTCAAAATATTATAGCCAAGCCATTTTTTGCCAAGTTTTATCGTATTATTTTTGTTGTTATATAATTTTGTTTATAAAAATATAGTTCATTCTTTAGCAAACCCGTCTAAATCTAAGTTTCCAACTTTGTGCAATATGTGCAAAAAAATGGACAAACTTTCGTACAAATTTTGATCTTTTTTAAAAATTTAAAAAAATCAACCGTAATTTACAGCCATTTGAAACTTGTACATACTTTATTCTACTAGAATGTTAGCCAAAAGTTTTTTTCTCTTTGTTTTGTCTTAAATAAAACTGTATTAATGGATGTTATGTCTTTTTATTCTAAAACAAAATTGAATGTTCGGATTCGATGCTTTAGAAGTGTTCCGATTTTGGTCCACAGAAATGTGGTCACCGTATGTATACTCAAGAATCGAATTAAAAACTCGAAATTTTTACGAAATTTCGTTTAATTTTTTTTTTAATTGCATAAATTTTTAAGGCAGTGTCACTCGATTGGTACATTTATGCAGATTTGTGTATTTTTATAATGAGCTATTGGTACAAAATAAAAAAATTGGGACTTTTTTTGTAGTCAAACGCTTGTAACAATACAGCAATCTTGTATTGAAAAATTTCAACAAATCATTTTTCGTGATTGGGATAAAGAAAAATATTTGGGTATTCACACAATCGGGATACCATTTGCACCAAATTCCCAATCGTGTGACACTGCCTTTGACCTTATATTTATACGGATGTTGGTAAAGAATAAACTATAAAAAACTAACCAAAATTAAATAACAACAAAAATAATATTTTAAAACTTGTCAAAATTTGGTGCGGCTACTGTACATAAGTTGACTGTGATTATAATGATTATAATTATTATAATATATGATTATGAGTATACTCTGCCGTGCTATCATAGTAACACAATGCCACTAATATTTGAGTTACAAACAAAATACGGGCAGAAATTTCAAAATCTCAACCCTTTTTGTGTGAAATATTTTATTTTTATCACTACTTTTCTGTTAATCAATCTATTTATGTTGAAATAAAAGTGAAAATAAGAAATTATTTTCTCAGAACAGTTAGTTGCATGAGTTTCCGGCGGGCTACATAGTTATATGATGTATTGTGGTGCGATTTTCTATCATCCCTTATCAAATTGAGTTTGGAGACAAACCGGTTTCGTCGTTGTACCATCTTCAGTGTAATTTTTCTTTCTGAATATTTTCTGTCTGTCCGTTAGTATTTATAATCTTGTTATTGTTCGTTGTTTTCTTACTTGATTTTCTTACTTGATTAGGAACGCTTTGCAGAACCAGGGAACACAGACTCAATTTATTAAGGATTGAAGTAGATTGAAACACGCAAGAACTTCGAAGATGAAAATAACAGATTTGGCTGCAGCTAAACCGCGAAATTTCGTGAGCTATTTACTAATGAATCATCATCCAGATCGGTGCTCTATGAGATGTATCTCCCGTAGCACTGATTGTTCAGATAGAAGTTTTTGCTTTATTTGTGCAGCTAAAACCATTTCTGAAGCTAAGCTATATTGTTAAAAAATGTAACATATGGAATCTTACTTACATATTTTGGACCACCCTGTGAAATGCTCATTTTCGCCAACATTCACCCAAAAAGCATAAAGTAGCTACATACATATATACATATGTATGCAGTTATGTAGGAACTTCTCCATGGGCTAACTACTCACTTGTTCTAATCCAAATACACTCGAAGCATTCCAAGTTTAACTGCGCCTTTTAAGCTACTCCTCCTAAGCTACAGATTACGCCAAGTCTGAGCAGTTTACTTCTCTTTTTAAGTCATACAATCGTTTAATATCTAACTGTTGCAGCAATTAACATGCAGCTGCGAACTGCAGCTTGCAGTAAACAACGGACAACGAGCTTGGGGCCAGGTGGCAGTTTGGGCGCTGTTCTGCTTGTTGTTGAGCCACTTCAATGGCTACGCTCATCTGCCGAAAGCATTCATTAGCGCTGCTAAATACTGCCCGGCCTAATGGTTAACTGTCAAAATAATGCTAAATGCACATCGAAAGGTGAAATGTGGTTGCTGCAGACAGAAAACTGTGCGACAGTGCCACAAATATGCAGACGCGGGCGCAACACAACTGAGGCGAATGGAGCCATCAAAAGTACTGAAATGGGTTGAGGCAGCTCAAAAGGAAAAAGAATCAGTCGTTAGTAAATGTAGCAGGTTTTTACTTTTTATCTTTTTTTTTTTAGATTTTCCATTTAATGCAGGCAACGGTGAAAACTCGTAGCCTCGCCTGCGCACGTTTGTTTGACTATTTGCTTTAGTGTTGCCAAAAGGAATATGCATTGCGTTGCTGCACCGTTGTTGCTGATGGCAACTTGCGGCATTTGTAGCACATCTACATGTATGCGAGTAAATAAATATATTTATATATATGTAGGTAGAAATTTGTGTTGATGAAAATCTTGTCAAACTGGTACAGTTATGATTTGCTTCCCGCAACTATGTAAGTATCCTCTCTAGCAGCGTTTTTCATTAACTGCAGCAACACGCAGCAGCAAGAGTAACAACATTGGGCGACATCATAATAATTATTCATCCAGTGCATTTAGGTGTGTACGTCGTTCAAATTGATCAGCATGCCATTTGGGATCGCTGTTGACGAGCGAAGTGCTTTCAGAATTCTTGTCAACAAATACAAAGTTGCTACAAGTACATATCGAGCCCTAACCGCCAAAATAAGTAACCCACATTATTTTCAAAATTTTCTTTTTGATGCAGAAATATTCCTAGAGCATCTAGATGCATTCTGCATCAAGAATAAAATTTTGGAAAGAATTTTGCCAGATATGTTGAAATTCCGAAAATAATAACTATAACAATATCTATACCGATATTAATCAGGATGTTAATGCAGTTATTTAAATAAAAACGTAAAAACAAATTAACAAGAACGACGGGAATATCGAAACATGGCAAGATTATCGACGCGCACTCTACTGGCTACTCTAGGCTAATGGGTACAAAATCGGCTACGCTGAGCCAATTATTCCTTCAGATATTAGACATGTTTTTCGAGCCACCATCCCTCGCGCCTACCTGGCAACGCCCATGTTTGCTAGCAACTACCACCCGATAATTGGAATAGAGGGGCCAAAAAGGTGTACACTTTCCCAGATAACCCAGCAGCACGGACATCACTAACGAAAACTCCAGTATAGTCAGAAATTATAAATATATTTTAAGCTCGACAACCGTTTCCATATACATTTCACTTGTTTGGATTTTAGCCATACATATATACATATGTACAAGGAACCCAGAAACTCACGAATTGAATACACTGAGAAAAAATCAACCAAAAATTGGTTAATGTTACCAAATTCAAACTTGAAAAGGATTCAACGTGATTTTTGGTTAATATTAACAATACCTTGGTTGATGTTTTCAACAATGATTTGGTAACATTAACCACACTTTTCTTTACATTAACCATTGGTTGTCGATTTTTCGTTTGAACACGTTTATGTTCTGCACTTGACAGGTGCTTTTTCACAATTCGGAGATACAAAACAAAAATTTTTATTGTAATTTGAACAAGTTGACTCTGACGAGATTTCAAACCGAATCTTTTGAATGTTAGCAAATAACAGCGAGTATCTCTGCACACTCACCTACAGCCGCTTCATAAATGTGACGGGCTGGCGGCATTCGTACTACTGGAAGCCAAAGAATAACAGTAAGCACCTCTACACGTTTTTTTCTCAAATGTTCAACTTGAATCGCATTTCTTACAATCGGCTTATTAACCATGAAACAACCAAACCATAACTTGGTTGAAAAAACCATTGTACTTTTGGCTTAGTGTAAGGATTGACAACGAAGCGAAGATAATAAGCTTTAAAACCAGAGAACTGTAGAGAAACGGATGATTGAAACATGGTGCATCAAGCTACACAACTGCAAAAAATATCTGACAGAACTATGGTAAATCTAAAACGGAAGGGCTTTTAAGTAGGCCAGGAAAAGGTTCCTTTAAATAAGGAAATAAAAATTATAAAATTGTTCCTCATAAATTGAAAATAGAGCAATGCTTAGGTCTTTATGCCCCCTCCTTAAAAGGTTTTATTAAGTAGGTAATGTTTGTACATTAGGGTGGTCCGAAGATACATGTGAAAAAAGTAAAGTATGAATTTCAATGCTCTCACTCTTTAGGATTGTTCTATATAGTTTCAAAAAAATACATCCCTGTTTTTTTTTTTGAAACCAAAAAATATTTAGAGGTCGCTCAAAGCGCTCACAGTTTTCCATGAAAAAGGTTATTGAATATTTAAATGATTTAGTATCTATCACCTTAAGCTATTTCATATACCATAAACCAATGCTTGGACAATATGACTGCCAGCCATGGACCCCGATATAATACTCGACTTCACTCTTTGATGCGAAACTGTGTGCGTTTGAGCGAAAAAGCGAAAACATAACGATCCATTAATTAAAATCTTTCGGATATGCATATATGGCCATAATAATTTATGCTGATATGCTGATATACGATTATTTAGGTACTTATGTGAATAAACAATTTTCAAATGATAAACATAATTATTTAATAAGCATTATAGCATTTCTCCTGCTTGCTGCTGAAAAAGGCGCTGAGCAAATCTTTCTATTTGATCTAAAATCCCATTCAAAGATCGCAAATCATTTCATTAGCAAAATCAGTGATGTTTTCATGCACTCAGTGCGATTGTCACACTTACTACATATACTGATGCCTGTAGATATGTACAGAGCCTCTTGATTTCGAAAATTTATTACCCAACATCTTAGATATGTGAAGTAGCAAAGTTTCGCCTTGAACACATGCAATCAACAAAGCTGCAAATGGCAAAACTGCAAGCGCTCACAGCCGCTGTCTTTCTAGTTCTGGTTCTGCAATGAAATGAACTTAGGAAAACCGTTAGAAGTTGTTTGCGAATTCCACTACCAGAGCCAAAACTGGTCCTCCTGCAGTCTTATGCAGATATTCGTTATTTTTTATCTTTTCTTGTGCGAAGATGAAGTGCAAACACGTATGTATGTGTGTTTGCCTTCACCACAAACATAGTTACATGCCCTGAATGAAAAGCTTTTGACAAAGAAATAGTGATATTTTAGTTAATTTGAATTCTTTCGGCTTTCAATTATTTTCTTTTGTTTATAATTATCTGACTACTACATTAAACGAAAAATATTAGCTTTCTTCCCCGCAAACATAACATACTCTGAACGATCAATATATATGAATCTGAAAGAAGTCCTATGTATGTAAGAAATATGAATTTCAAAAAATAGAACAATTTGCCTCCTCTATGAACCCTTTTGAGCTCTTTTATGATCCAAATAATGAGCCGGCACTTTGTTACAATAAAAAACAATGCAGCTTCGGAATTTCCTACTCACCTTTTTGTATATAAATTGTGTGAAAAATAATAAAAAGTAACATAAATAGAATTTGGCTGCAACTTCTGCTTTTAAAGGAATATACGAAAGAGATTTTTATTTAATCCTCTTAATTTTAAGCACATTACTTATTAACATACATACATAAATATGTAATATGTATAAAATAAATATTGATATTTACTAGAAGAGTCTTTGCGGAATCAATGGGAAAAAGTGGTATATGTATGAGGCCAATAGAAGTCATATAAGATCCTAAAAACGGCTCCTAAATGAGTCACAAATGAGGGGAATAAGAGCCTAAAAAGAGTCTGAATATGAGCGCAATAAGAGTCAGATATGACTAATATTGAAGCTCATTTAAGGTATGAATTTAAACTCATATAAATCGACCTTGCCAGAAGGGAAAAACATTCATTTAAGATTCTTAAATGAACTCATTATGTGCGTAAACGCATCGAAATAGGACTCCTTATAGACTCATTTATGACTCCAAATGTTTGCTGGGTTAGAAATGTTGTATTTAGAATTCAAAAAAAATAAAAAATATCTTCAATCAGTTTCACACGGCGATGTATTTAAAATCGCGGTAAAAGCTTTCTTAAAAGCATTGGCATTGATGTGAATTGCTCTGTGTTATTTACGACAGCTCTTCCAGAAGATGTGTCTTCATATGAAGTCTGAAAAAATTTCCCTGAATATTGATATTTGGATCTTCTCTATCATATTCATTATACTGTCTGCGAATACTCAATTTGATTTACACACAAAGTAATACACACTTCTGAATATAAAATATTCAGTATCTTAGATTTTGTCATAGGAAGCTTTTTCAGTACAAAACTTTACAAGGAACTCTTCCCCAGCGATCTCACGGTTGGGTAAACTTCTCTGCCGCCTCGATGTTTTATGAGTGCCTGCCAGCTAAGACAGCGCATGCTACAGCCATATACAAATGCACATACATATGTAAATATGTATTAAAAACGAGATATAAAACTCCCAGTAAACCATAAAAGATACAGCTACTTTAAGTAGTCAATTAGCATCGAGCAATTAAATCAATAAAATTTTAATTGCTATAAAATGCATTCGCCGATTTCGTTCTTTATTAAGACGGTTTAACCTTTATACCGCAATAACAATACAATTCGAAGTGTTCGGTAACGTTTGGAACAATATACATACATATATCGTACAGCATACATCTGCCGTGCCTACCTTGAATCTACTTAACTATCCCCGCACCCTCACGTTACCAACGTCTACCCTATCCCGTGCAGTGCAGTCGATATTTTTATGCATATTACCTGGTTAACTTGGAATTAAAGCTTTTTCAACACCCACCAGGGTTGCACGTTTAACACCGCGCTGATAATATTGCCTAGCAACTTGCTAATCCACCATCGATCACAACAATATGTACATAAACTAACCGTATTTTTTGTGATTTGCCTAGTAACAGATTAACTGTATATATAGGTATGTCCATATCGATGGTCTTCTGCAACAATGGCTCAACTCAAAATTCAAAAAAAAAACTGTTAAGTGTCTTACGAGTATCTTTGTCTAATCTACGTCTAATCCTTGCGAAAGTAGTAAGATTAGACATATATTAGAAAAGGATTAGAGACATAAGACACTTAACGATAGAATATAAGGAAATGTTTTATTTTTGAATTTTTTAGTTGTGCCGTTATTGCAGAGGATCATCGATATGTATATTATTGGGAAGTTTTCAAATATACAGTGCCGGACAAAAGTATTGGCACAGAGAATTTTTCGCAATATCTGAACAGTTTTTTATTCTAATTTATTTTCGATAATTTTTTATAAATATATAGCTCGTCCTACACCAAAAAACATAAAAACTAAATATCTAAATTTTGTGCAAAACTCAGGAAAATTCAATAAATTTGCATACTTATTTGCAACTTTCTATTCAGATTTTTTAGAAAAATTCTAGTTTTATAGCTCAACTAATTTTAGTATAACAAAGTGCAAGCTTGAAGGTGCTAAAAAATCGCATTGATTTTTGGCAATTTTTTTCAGTCAGGTTCTTCCGTACAAAGTATGTTCGACAATTATTTTTTGTATGGAGCAAATGAGCAACACCTTCTACTAAAAAAATGTCCAAAAACAACGCAATTTTTTAGATACTTCAAACTTGCACTTTGTTATACTAAAATTAGTTGGGCTATAAAACTACATACTTAGAATTTCTCTAAAAAATCTGAATAAGAAGTTGCAAATTAGTATGCAAATTTATTGAATTTTCCTGAGTTTTGCACAAAGTTTAGAGATTTTGTTTTTATGTTTTTTGGTGAAGTATGAACTATATTTTTATTAAAAAATATTGAAAATAAATTAGAATAAAAAACTTTGCATATATTGCGAAAAATTCTCTGTGCCAATACTTTTGTCCGGTACTGTATCTATTTTAGTCCTTTATTGAAGTGATTTCATTTCATATTTCACGTCGCCATTACTGATGTAAAGGTAGGGAAAAATAATTTACCTCACTTGCTTAAAGAAAGTGCACATTTACATTCATACATACATAAATATAATTTTAAAGATTTTTTAAGGCAGTGCGACCATATTAGACCATACAATTTTCCGCGTTGATATTAAATTCATCTATCTATGTATATGATATCACCAACCTAAATGTGATTAAGGAATTAATTTCTTCATTAATTTATAATGACAAATTCCTTTCACTTTCATTTAGGCAAATCAATGTTCATTTATGTAGAAAACTTGCTTTGTAATCGCACTTTTACATACTTTTTACTTTTTTGCTTTCAATATTCAGCAAAAATTTTCGCTTTCAAAGTAATTTTTAAGTAAGTTTTAAGCAAAAACAGAAAAGAAATGCTCCTCTCCTTCGGGTGTCTACATATCTAAAATCATTTATCAATGGTTTGCTGCATTTTGCTGACAGCTCAGAGGTTTACTCTGTTGAAAAATTGTCATTATGTCATTTAATGTTTTTTTTTTGTTTTTTAAGTTTCATGCACACTTTGCACCTAATTTGCTTGGTGATATATGGAATCTCAAGCTTTCACAATGCAATATGATTAATGATACGACGTTACCACCATACATAATTTTAAAAGAGTGAAAATCTTTAAACGCATTTTGACGTAACTGATGCAAGTTATGCAAGAGTTATTTTTTTCTGTTGATTCAGTAGGAAACCCAAAATACAGTAAAAAAAGTAATTACAGTAATTGCAGGAAAAATTGGCATACGAATTCAGATTGCCACAGTTAGATACGTATAGTGGCGAAAATAAAAATATAGGGACGCATCGGTTTAACAAGTTTTGACTATTTTTCTTTTGCTTATTTAATGCTTATTATTTTTATATGAAAATATCTAAATCTCCTTATCAAACAGAAAAATCATGTATGTAGGTCCGAATTTCATACTTGGTATAAAAATTGGGAAAGTTAAAAAAATTCTCATCAATATTTCGAGCTTTTTAAAGAGAGTTCTTAGAAACATTTTGAGTATACAGTTTTGCATCCCATTGAATTTGAGTATAATACAGTGCAAGGTTGAAGTATATAGCTAGGACTCATCGTTGACTTTGGAAATTTTTCTGTTCTTATTTTCTCCAAAAAAAAAAAAAAAACTGAGGTATTCATCAAAATTAAGTAATTTTTCGATGTTTACATGGTTAAGAGGTATTTACGCGTTTAGATAAATTGCTCTAATATATGTTTGGAAAAAATGTGTATCCCCGCCAAGAAAACAAAATTATAGTTTAAAAAACTAAAACCTCGCTATTAAAATTTCCATTCATACTGTAATCAGGTATGTGACTTCAGAATGGAAATCGCTGCATCTTTTAGCGCATCAATATTACATAGTTACATCCCGAGCTAATAAAAGCGAGGTAAAAATACCAAAAAACAACAGAATTTTGTAGCCACATTCAACTTTCACTTTATTAAATTAATACTCTATAGAATAGCATATCAAATTTTGTTTTAAAATTTTTGATCAAAAAGTTTGAAAATTAACGGAGACTGTTTTGGATTTTCCATTGGATCTGTTTTTTACTCGCACTGGAGGTTTTTTGAATATGCTCGCTTATACATATAGCGAACCACTTGTTCCTAGGCAACATAGAGAGGTAATAATACAGTATATTTTGCTTAGCTGCCCATCCTTCTTTGCACGAAAAACTTGTGCGCTTAACCGAAAAAAGCACTTAAGCGAATTTTCTTTACTACTTCAATGAGGAAGGTATCCGAATCCCTATGAAACCAAATAATGGAGGAGCACTTGCCACGTAGAAATTACTGCAAGAGAATTTTTTTTCCGAATGGTATCTAATTATCTATATAACTACATAAAATAATTGCC